ATGGGGCACCCAAAGCTTCTCTGGACAACCTGTGCCAGTGTCCCCAGTCCTTTTCTGGCCATGTCTCCTGGAAGGATCCTGGCCCTACGTTGTAGCTCTGTCTCCAGTCCTGTCTCCAGCCCCATCTCCTGTTGCTCCTAATGGGATTCTTTGGAGTTACCTGAGATCTGATTTCACAGCTTGTGTTGTCTGGCCCTGCTGCTGGACACCATCCTCAGCATCCTGCTCATGTGCTGTGGGATGGGTGCTGGCTTGGTGAGGGCCCTGCATGTGCTAGGGCCACACTGGCTCTTGGCTCAGCGCCCCCCTCCAAAGCACCCCCACTCCAGCTCTGCAAAGGGATGGCTTCTGCTGTGGGGTCAGGGTCCCTGCCATCTGGCTCCGGCTGCTTCTCTTCAGGGCTGCAGAACAAGCATGGAGGAACAGGTTGTTGCTCCTCTCCCTCCCTGGTTCTTGGTGCTAATGTCCCATATGTGGATCGTCTCTCTGCTGTGCTGGGCAAGTCCCTGTCGTGGTTTAGCCCCGGCCGGCAGCTAAGCCCCGCACAACCACTCCCCCCTGATGGGATGGGGGAAGAGAATTGGAAGAGAGAAAGTGAGAAAACTTGTGGGTAGAGATAAAGACAGTTTAATAGGTAAAGCAAAAGTCACATGTGCAAGCACAGCAAAGCAAGGAATTCATTCCCCACTTCCCATGGTGGGCAGGTGTTCAGCCATCCCCAGGAAAATGGGGCTCCATCACACGTAACAGTTTCTTGGGAAGACAAACACCATCACTCCCAATGTTGCTGCCCCCCTGTCCTTCCTGTTCCCCCAGCCCCTTTCGTGCTGAGCACGACGTATGCTATGGAACGTCCCTTTGGTCACTGGGGTCAGCTGTCCCAGCTGTGTCCCCTCCCAACTCCTTGGGCACCCCCAGCCTCCTCGCTGGCAGGGCGGTGTGAGAAGCAGAAAAGGCCTTGGCTCTGTGTAAGTGCTGCTCAGCGGCAACAACATCATCTCTGCATAACAAAAACATGTCTATATTATCAACACTGTTTTCAGCACAAATCCAAAACAGCCCCATACTAGCTGCTATGAAGGAAATTCACTCTATATCTCAGCTGAAACCAGGACAGTCCCTTTTCTTCCTTTTTATAAGCTTTATTGTACTTTTTAAAGATGTTCTTAAGGTCTGCTCTGTTCATTATTTGGTCTCATTGCAGTACACGGCTGGATTCGAAGATGTACTCCATTTGCAGAGGAGAAGCTGTGGGCTGGGCTCCTTGCTGAGCCACTGAGCTGAGTCCCTTCCTTCAGCCCCCGGTACCACGGGACTGGAGCAGGCTCCATTTGAGGCTCCTCATGTCTGTCAAAGGCAACTGGCTTGTCCCCCAACACTTACAGTGGTAGAAACTGGGGCTGGGAGAGTGCCGACTTGGCCGCACTGCCCTGGTGCTCTCCCCGCACCATCTGGGCCACCATTCGCTGCATTCCTTCACTCTCCCTGTTGCGTGTGCGGTCTCAGGGAGGTCTGGATGCTCCAGTTCCCACACACCATCACAGCTTGTTGTGACCTGGACTGGTGGCCCAGGAGCCGTCCCATTACCTTGAAAGCTCGGTGCCCAGACGCAGCAGGACCGAGCTCATCCCATTGTGCTGTCTTCCCGTGCGTCCTGGGCTGCCTGTCCCACGTTGATGCCAGACAGCGCTGGGTGTGCTAGGAACAACGCCACCTCCTGCAGCGTCTGTGCCCTGGATCCCAGCTGCAAGAGACAGCTGGGCCATGCTCACAGCATCACTGAGCCGTTCCTAGCTGTTACTAAAGTAAAAATCCCATTAGCTTTTTAGATTATGAGATATTAGTCACATAAATACTAAAGGAATTTCTTCCTGGCCGTGGGCAGTTACCTTACAGAGAAAGTATTTCATTTCAAGAAAACCAATAAAAGAAACATTTTGTTTAAAGGAATTTCCATTTTTCCCTCCTGGCCACTTTTTTCTCTGGTTCTTTTTTTTATTTTCTATTTCTCTTCCAACTGTAACTGCTTTTCAGACACCCCAGCAAATGTCTCCTTCTTTTGTGCCACCTGTCGGTCGCAGTTCCATGTTGCTTTTAGAAGGCCCTTGAGCTCGTCTGCAGCTCCTGCTCTCTCCTGCCATCTCCCATCTGTCCCGGTTGCTGCGGACGACCCGTTGCAGGTGCTGGGGAAGCTGCTGCGCTGGATCCAGCCCTGCCCAATGCAGATGGGATGACCCAGGCTTCAGGCGTCATCTCTTGGTTGCCAGGCCCCTTCACAACTTTGTACGTAGGCTCTGTCCCCTGTGCTCAGGCGCTGTCACTGCGTTCTAGCTAGTCCTGCTCCTTGGAGGCCTTCAGGAGACCTGCTCCCCTCAGCTGCCTTCCCTTCAGCCCACCCCTTGCTTCCTTGCTTGTGCTCCCAGGAGAAGAAACAAATCTGGTGCAGGCAGCAAGAAGCCGTGCAATACTCTCACTGCCAGGTGAGAAGGTGCAGGCAAGAGGCAGATCAGAGGAACGTTCCCAGCTGCCTGCTACACATCTTGGAGCGTGTCCTCCAGCCTCACAGAGCTCCAGGTCCCAGAGGGTGTTTGCAAGGGACCCCAGCATGTTTCTGCACCCTGCCACCATTCCCGGTCTTGGTGCTTTGTTTATCACATGGCCCAGAAAGCATCCAGAAAGCTTTGTTACTTGCTTTTGATGACAAGGCTGCACATTCTTGGCCCAGCCATGGATGTAATCCCTGTTGGTCTGGTGGGAAATCAAAGCTGATGAGCATCTAGCAGATAATGAAGTCTTTGTACTGGAGTCTTCTGCTTGTTGGGTGTGTGGTTGGGTTTATTCCATCTCCCTTCCTGGAGCCTCCTGGTGCCAGGACACAGCAAACAATGTCCACATGGCAGTGGTAACACTGCCCAGAGCCTGCAGGCTCCCACATGTTCCTGGCCGCTGTCATCACCAATATCTGGTGATATGGTAATGTTTTCCTGAGGCAAAGTCAAAAATGTGCTTCCCCATCATGGACACTCAGAGTGCTCACACATGGGGCCCCAGCAAGGAGCAGAGCACAGGAGCTCTGGGTGGTCTTCTCATTTCTGCATCTTGGGGCAACAGAATCATGGACTCACAGAGTGGTTTTGGTTGGAAGGGACCCAGTCCAACCCCTCTGCCATGGGCAGGGACACCCTCCACTAGCCCAGGTTGCCCAAAGCCCCATCCAACCTGGCCTTGACCATTGCCAGG